GTGGGAGAACTTGCACAATTGGTGGCTGACTAAATACTTTTTTGCCCCACTGTATTCTTACTTTACAGCATTTTTCACACCTGCCTAAGACTTTTGCACAGTACTGTATGTGTGTGTTTGTGTATTGATGCTGATTTTATTTGTACTGCAATGCTTATTTGCCCCCTTGAGTATAATTTCCCAAGGTCTTCATTTCCATCTGACTTGATTGCACAGCTTGCAGTTCATCTTTTATGAGGGACAAGACCAACCCATGGTCTCTTTCTCTGTATCTTTTGACACAGAGAAATAACTCAATAACGCACAAGATTTCTCAGATACACAGCAGAATATATAGTGTGTTGTATATGCCTGTAGTTTAATAAGTGTGGCTGGACTTTCCTTTAACTTTTTTTGCAGAAATATCTTTATTTTAAAATTGATTATATGCATGTATGTCATGATGCAGTAACATTTCAAAACGTAAATCCTGAAATTGCACATGGGAATTGAAAATCAAAATAATAGATATGTTTGCCATCTTGAGTTATGTATAAAGAAAATGTGGGATATAATAATAATAGAATGTGCAGTAAAATTCAGGGCAAAAGGAGAAGGCCAATGCATCATTGGCCAAATAATTAAAAGATAAAGATAGATTTTGTGCCAAATTAATGGTTTTCTTAACAGTTGCAGATACCAGGAGTTTGTTGCTAACTAAAAATCAGTTTTTGGATACCACTGCAATACATTTCAGGGATATTTTTGAATTAGAATTTGTGTTCCTATGAAAGTAGTTTCCAAAAGTCTTCCATCTTTTGATTTTGCTTCAGCTAGAATGTGGATTCTTTTAGACAAGTTTGTGGTTCTTTTCTTGCAGGTGGATCTATAATTTCCCAAGGTCTTCATTTCCATCTGATTTGATTACACAGCTTGCAGTTCATCTTTTTATGAGGGACTAGACCAACCCATGGTCTCAGTAAGTCATAGCAAACTGGTATCTGTTTCTGGTCCATTGTTTGCCCCAACCTTTGATCAGCAAGATAACATATTAGATGTTCTCAAGCCTGACATGCCACCATTAAATTTACTGCAGGATTGCAGCAGTGAACAAGTATCTGTTTCAGCTGTTACCTCAAATACAGTCTGTACATCAGAGATGGGTGTCTCATTGTCAATGATAAAGAAGGAAGTGGAGAAACCACAGAATACCATCTATGAGGCTTATCTCAAGCTACCAGATTTTTGTTCTGAAGTCTCTAGAGAGTTCATCCCTACACTGGAAGAGATTGAGGAGTTCCTCAATGAGAAGAAGGCACTTCTCAAGGATGAGATGAATGACAAGCAGCCAGGAGGACAACTTGAGATAAAATCTGAAATCAATGTAAGTAATGCAGGGGAACAGTCTGCTGCTGGAACTGATCTAGATGAAGGCGTTTCTAGCTCTGTTCAGGCTGAAGTAGTATCTGGAGACACAAACATGCCTGGAACCATGGGGACAATCCCTGTTCTCCTTCAGGTGCAGCCTGTCCAAGCAGAAGATAGCTCATCCATCCAGAGCTCTCTTGGTGGTATCCGGGTGGCCCACTTGATCATCAGAATGCAAGGCCAGAGCTTGACTGTTTATCCTCAGGTCACCCCAAGTCCTGTGAAAGGCACAGACCAGAAGTATGTACGAATAGCCCCTTTGCCTGTGGCACTGAGGCCAGAAGTTCTTGGAAATCCAAGGAGTATAGAAACCAAGGTACCCAAAGTTTCCCCTTCTGTTATCCGAGTCCACAAGTGTACACATCCTGGCTGCACCAAGATGTATACCAAGAGTTCCCATCTTAAGGCACACTTCCGACGTCATACTGGAGAAAAGCCTTATACCTGTACTTGGCCTGACTGTGGTTGGAGGTAAGTAGGTGACAGTGAAAACCAGTTTCTTAATGAGGCTGTCCAGCTGCATATTTGATTGCTTTTTTTTAATTACAGGCTTACTGTCGAAGCCTCTTTTTAGCATAGTTCATTGTTCAGTGAAGCATTTGAAATATGTTTAATGATCTTAGAATTCTGTAATCTCTATAACTGTTTCTCTGAACCAACAATGTAATTCTACATATATTTTCTCAAAAGACATTCCCAGTAGGTGCAGTGAAGCTTGCAAGATTCTTTAGGATTGTAGTCCAAATATAGATCATGTATTGCTTGAAAAATAATTTGAAATCTAATACCTGATGTGAAAAACATACATGGGATCTCAGCACAATTGATATAAACAGCTATATAAGCATTTGTTAATGTGGATAATTATTCTTGATGTGGTTAATAGTATCTATGCCCATTAATATGAAGCAACGTTTAAAAAGTGAATATTTAGACAATTGTGTGTGACTCTGCTGCTATATATTTAATACAGAGTTGAAAAAGATACAGAAAATGGCAATTAAAATATTCAAAGGACTAGAGCAAATTGCCCACAAGGGAAGATTACAGCAATTTGGATGCTTAGCTTATAAAAAAGGCACATATGTTTGTCTCCTTCTTTTTGGAGATATCTTCCAAAACTCAGTGGTAAAAGATTAGGATAGATAAAGAGAAGTATTTCTTCACATAGCACCACAGATAAATTATGAAATTTGTTACCACAGGACTCCCTGAAGGCCATCAACTTCCACAGCTTTAAAAGGAAATTAAACAAATTCTGGAGGGTAAAATTATCAAAGGCTGCCAGTCCAGTATCAAAGCAATCTGCATATCACTTGCTGACAAATATGAATGGCATACTTTGGTCCTTGTAACTTGCTGTTAGGCTTCCCACGGGCATCTGGTTAGGAACAGAATGTTGAAAGGCATGGCGTTTCTTATGTCCGTTCTTGGTGAAAGACTAATTCACACACAATAGTTTCTCTGTCTTTCTCTCTTTCCCTAACTCACAAGGTTTTGATTCGTTTTACAGCTGCCTGACAGCTTACAATAGTTTAGTTTGGTGTAAAGTAGCTTCTTTCCTTCTTAGCAGGACTGGGAAAAGCCTCAGCTGCTGAATTTTTGCTTGGTGTTCTACAGCTTTGGAAAGCCTTAACGTTAAGCTCCCCATCCCCTGGGATTGTGTTCAACATGTTTTCAAAGGCAGCATGAATTAGTTCCCCACAGTATTCCTCCTTTCCCCCAGAATCCTTTCCAGTCTGCAGGCCATTGGGCCCTCGGGTATAGTCATATTCCACATACAGGCACTGCTTATGCAGCTTTCGTGACATCATCTTCGTGTTAGCCTTATTCAGTCCTCCTGTCTCTCCCTCCCCCCAGTCTGCTTCTTGTAAACTTGCTGGATGAAGTTCTGGAACTCCTGAAAGCTGTCCACAGTTTTGTACATTTTGTTGGTCCTGATAAAGAATTATCCACTCATGGACTGTATAAAAATGTTGTTTTATTTATGCAGTTATGCTGGTCTTTTCAGTTCTCAGGCTATATCTTATCAAAAGTTGCAGTTTTGAAAAATTAAATTTATGTGCAGATATCTCTTCTTCAAGCAGATGGTTCTGTGTACAATTTTAAGCCTCCAGCTGTCTGTCTGTCAATGCATCAGTGGAGACTTTCCAAATGGGGAGAGAGGCTGCTGTTGACAGATGTGTAATTGTCTCCATTTACAGGGAGCTTTGCAGTGATTGCCAGAGCTGGGTTGTTTGTCCCAGTGTCAGTTCTGTGATAAGAACAGGGTTACCATATCTGGGCTCCAAGATGCCAAATAACCTCAGCATAGGAACAAAGAGTTCAGATTTCTGCATCTCTTTACTGCCATCAAGTGGTGATCCAGATTTTTACAGCCCAGCTATGATAGCCCAGAATAAGAGAAACAATACAAAATAATATGTAACTTATTTTCAGAGATGCCAAGCTCTGTGTGTGCGAATGCGTGTGTGCGTATGTGTGTGTAAAAATAGGGTAGGGATTCTCTCTCTCAAAAACATCTTAGGCAAAAACATCTCTCAGGCATCCTGGAGTTTCTAACTGCTTAGACCAGACTGAGGAATCTGTGGTCTTTCAGATGATCTGGATTATGACTGCCTGGCATGGCCAAGGACTACAGCGCATCTGGGGGACCATAGGTTCCCTTCTGCTGCTGCAAGGTAGCGTGGAGGTTATAGCTTTTGGAAGTTAGAGAGGAAGGAGACCCTTGTGAGAGAAGGGCAAACTGAATGCACTGACTACAGTTCACTGATAGAATGCATGTGTGGATTCAGAAGTCCCCAGATTTTGTTCTTGGCATGTCCTGTTAAATGCTGAAATTAAGTTCACACATGTTTTGCTTAATTATAGTTTTTTGAATGAATCACAACATGTACAGTCAAAATAAAACCATATTTTGGCTTCTGCAATGTTTAAGTATAGCCAAATTCTGGAAGCAAGTGATTGAACAACCCTGCCAATGTTGTTGGAGAGCCTTTGCAGGTCAGAATAGACAGTCCTGGGCTAGTTAGACAAATAGTTTGTCCTAATACAAGGCTTCATGATCTAACATAAAACTGAAGATCTAAGGATGAAGCAACCAAGTTTTGGGAATAGTGTTCAGAAAGAGTTCAGGGAAGCAAGACCAGCCCAAGACTTGAGGTAAAAGAGATAGTCCCATCCCCTCCATGGAGAGAAGCTGATTGAAATAAGATTCAATCTTATAGAAATAAGACTGAATCTTATTTCAACATTGATGATTGAACATCACATCTCAAGGAGAGTAGTCAAGCTTAGGGTACCCAGGACAAACAGTGGGACATGTACAACTCTCTTCTCCTGTAGCTCACCATTATATTCTGTGTTTCATTAACTGCTGCCTGAGGTGCTGCCACCTCTGCCTAGAGTATGGATGGTCCTGGGAAATGGAAAAGAGGAAAGGAATGAAAAGGTCTTCTTCAATATTCCTTGTAGATACCTGATCAACACCAAAATATTTCAACAAAGCTCATGAAAGAATGAAGACACACCAAGAGAAATTAACAGAATGATTTGCAAGGAGAAGCAAAAATCAGAAGATTTTTTTTAAAAAGGGTGGCATTAATGGTAGAGAACAGGTATTGTCTACAGAAAATGCCAAGTTCTGTCCCTGGTATCTCCAGTTAAGTTATGGAAAGACTCCAATGAGAATCCTACAAAATTGCTCCAATAATAAGATAAACCAATGGCCTGTCTTAGTATAAGGGTGGGGAAGGTTAATGGTATTCTTTTTTATTTGAAAGCTCAGGGGGAGTTCTAGTGTGATAAATCCTTATATACTGATATAGCTTACCAATGATACTGCCAGGAACCTAAATAACCAAATTGTACCATAGGTTCTTTCATAGAGCAGTTTGTCCATTCAGAACTAGCCAATTCCTTTATAAAGCTGTTAAGAAGATAGATCCAGCATTAATTAATTAATTAATTAATTATTTTGGGGTGTGTGTGTGATTTTCTGGCTAGACCGCTAGCATCCCAAAGGGTGAAAGTACTGTACCATTGACCAAAGGAATGAACTCTTTCCGTCAAATGCAGTGAAACAAATTAATCTGAGACCTTGAAATTAAAGGTCTTGTGAGCAGCTCCCTTTAGGGAATCATGTGTATTATTTCAGTTGTGAGACATCCACAACTGATTCACCTGAAGATTATTATTGATAATAATTATTATCAATTATTATTTTGTGGAAGAACTTGGAAAATTAGGGGTTCTTCAATAGGGAAATGTACCTTCTCCCAATCCATAATATCTAAACAATTGCAGCTTTTAAGTACATGCCACAACAAACAGGGATCTCCTTTTTGCCGCTTTGGCACACTCTCATTTGCTGTTCTCTTAGCCTACAACTCTTAGTCTACGAGGCATCAAGAATCATGCTCCAAAGGGCTCTTGGCTGATGTGTTTGCTTCCTCCCTTTTGGCTACATAACTTTGGAACGTAGTCCCACTTCATTGCAGCAATGTAGTCAGTTTTCCCCCCTCAGAACTCTGGTAAATGTATTAAGAAATGGATCTTTGCTGACTCCTCTGCTGTGTTAGCAATGAGTTGCTTCTAAATGCAAATGGAGAGTGAGAGGAATTATAAGCAGAACATATTTCAGATTCTACATTATTTTATATAAGCCTTGTTACATGGTTCTGGCATGTTTTGGTAACCAGGAATGCACTCCCTTAGTTTGAAACTATGCTATGTCATGGAGGTAGGTACTCTAGAGATATTAGTTCTTTTCTGGCCAGGTTGATTCTGGATTAAGAGAATCAAAGCCTGATCCATTTAGGCAAAAAATAAGTTGAGAAAAAAGGTCTTTGTTTTTTAAAATATGATTATTATAATCTACCAATGGCTATAAGCCAAAAGATGGTGTTGCCTTCCTGCCCTGCTTCGGGGTTGCTAGGATGCCCAGGTTGGTCACTGTGGGAAATCTGGATTTTAGACTTAATTAATCTTTGATCCAGAGCTGCTCTTATGTTTCCTCTAGTAGGAGCTGTTAAGAAAGGAAACCAGAGGGTGGCAAAATCCATTATATCACCGTGCATTTCTAGGTTTTGTCCGAGTGGCTCTATACAGTGGCAGAGTTGGGGTTTGATAGAATTTAGAGCATTGTTTAGTTATGTGTATAAACAAGCGATCTGTTTAAAAGATCCAAAATATGAGTGGGAGCTATTGGCTAGGAAAAGCTAGCCTAAACATTTTCAGAGAGTGCCTACAGCATGCCAACTTTGGAGTTGACATTGTTGGAGGTGAGGTCATTCTGCAGAAATGGTGTCATTATGGTGAAGATGGTGGCCTTTAATCATAAGTACTGTACAGTCATATGAATGTGCCCTTAGTAAAGAGTTATTGCTCATAGCCTGGAGTTGGTTTCCATCAGGCTGTAGTTCCTGGAAATATGGATAAAATAAGTCAACATTATTTCTTTAGAATTGGGGATGCTATTATGTCAAGGCCTACATTCCTGGGAAGGTCATCTGCTGAAGGTTCAGTGTGAGTCATGGACAGAGCTAAGATCAGTGGTAGGCAGGGCCAGAACCCACAGTGGGCAGGGTTACCTCTTTCCCTTTTGGAAAGTTTATTTTTGCCTCCCTGTCTTTGTCTCTTTTTTTGAGACTGTCTCCCCCCACCCCACCCCCCAAAAAAGGTCTTTGTATTGCAAGCAACCAAGGAGAGAGACAGATTGCTCAAGCCAAAGTACTGAACTGATTGCTTGGAGAGGGTTTTGAAATTAGGCTGATGGGTGCATGTTGCCCAATACCTGCCTTACATCATTCCATTTCAACAAAGGCCCCTTTGCAATTAAAAGGAAAATAAATCTGCTAGGGAGCAGTTTGTGTTCTCAGCCCAGTTTGATAGGCTGTGAGATCATGTCTAGCCTGTTTCTGAATTGTTACATAACACTGGACAAGTGGTGCTTCCTTCTGCATCTCTTTTCACATTCTAAATAGAGAAGTGGTACTTCACAAAGGCACAATGGCTTTGTTAATATTTGTCAGGGCCTTTGAGTTTCTTTGTTGAAAGACTTCTTAGGAAGACTGTGTGTGTGTGTCCAAATCTGTGTATGAAAATAGAAGCAAAGACACCATAAGAGGGAAAGAGAAGATCAGAGGTACACAAGAATAAAGGACCATAAGCCTTTATTGTTGTGAATTTGAGAGATGCCATGTCTCTTCTCTCTTTGGTTCATATATAACATGCTATACATAATTTATGTGTGTGTGAACCTATATGAGCCAAGGTTTGGTTTACAAGGAAAACTTCATAAGTGGAAAAACTCTGGTTTCTGGAGTTTCAAATTAGAGTGGCATCTATCTATTTGATTATCTTTTCTATAGTCCAGAAATCTCTCTTGCATTCTGTGGTTTGGTGTTGATGGCGCGGGGTGAAAAGCAACAGTCTCTTTGGTTTCCACAAATGTGCAGTAAACAAATATTTCCTCTTCTGTCTGGCAGGTTTTCCCGTTCAGATGAGCTCTCTCGCCACAAGCGCTCCCATTCTGGACTCAAACCTTACCAGTGCCAAGTGTGCGAGAAGAAATTTGCCCGCAGTGACCACTTATCTAAACATATGAAGATCCACAAAGGGTCATTCAGTTCAGGAAGTCAAACAGCAGGTTGTTTTCGTAATAGTTAACCAACACTCTGCTTTCTTGCCAAGAGAAGAATTCCCGTCAACTCAAAGGACAACTGAATAGAAAATACGATTTTTCTTTAGGAGAAGAGGAAATTAGAAAATGACTTGTTTAAGTCTGGGGGAAGCCTATTTCTGTTTGAATGTGTCTTGCAATTAGGGTTTGCCTCCAAGTCAAGATCTTTGATACATGTTAATAATTGTAAATTATATCTGAGAGGAAAATGTGACAATTTAGGATGTGGAGAATGGCATGAAATCCTGTTTCATACTGAATTTTGTAAATGTACATATTGTTCAGGAATTCTGTTAAGCTGTACACAAAGGGACAGTATTCAAACGCAAGTTACGTTTTTCATCATTTCTCAGTCTAGCCCTATTTGATCAGTCTGGCATTTATTCTAAAACCAAGACAATGGGAGAAGATTATTTCAAGTTGAAATGCATGCAAGTGAATATCAATTACAATTTCCCAAATCCAGCAAACAATTTACTCCATGAATTCCAAGTTCCTCTTTTAAACTATGGACTTTACCTTCCTAAATTTATATTTTGCCACTCCAAAGTGAGTTTCATTGCTCTCCCTGTATGCTTTGTTTTTTAATTTTTGGGGGGGAAATGAATTGTATTTTGGATTACTGTGAATGATTGTGTTGTCTCTTAAGAGCCACATTTAAAATGCGTATTCTGTGGAATGTAGTTTGCCAGTGCCTCAGAATGGTAACCAAGGTGAATTTGTCCACTTCTTGCTTTTTGTTAAAGTGCTGCATTGTCAGAGAGTGCCTTCTGCCTTTCTCATAAGGCAAGCCAGAATGAGTCTTCAGCTCAGTCCATTTTAATTAAAATAATAAAGGGCCTGGTACATTAAATTTGATAAAATACTAACCAATGTATTATGACATCTGCTATACAGTATACAAAATCCTTGCATTGGTTTTGCTATTCCAGTACAGCCCATGGCAGCACCTAGTTAATTTTGGTTGATCTCAGACAACCTAAGCATGTCAAAACTGGTTGATATTTGGATGGGAGACTACCAGGGCTATAGGTAAACTATGAGTTTTAAAAATATCTGGAAAGAATAGCAGAATGCAATAGCATACTACTTCCATATTATTTCCAAGAAAACTACATGAACATGTAGCTGAAGAATCCAGCTTGAAGTGAGGGAGTTTTTACCTTTAATATAGCTACTTAAGCATTCAGATCTGATGCAGGTGAACTGCTGGTGTGAAACTAAGGACAAATGTTCTTCTACATTTTGCATGCCAGTACAGAAAACACCTTGTACTTAGGAGGCGACATGCATCCGCAAGCAAGCAAGCTTCTTATGCATCTCCAACCTGCCTCAATGCAACAGTTCCTGCCGGAAGAGGAAAGCACCTGTATGTCCTGTGTAAGAATAGCAGCCTGCACTCACACATGCTTACTTGGAAGACTGATTCTGAGAGGTGTTATGGCTTGCCCTGGATGTTTTAGCCTCCTTCCCCTACGGGCACTTTTTTCATTTTTCAGTATGTGCCAGCCTGAATGATTCATATTGCCTCTGTCTCCTTGCTTATTATCCCGCATCAATTTGTCTCAGTCTTCAACTAGGACTCTGAATAATGTATAAAGGTGTACTATAGCCATTTCTCCTCCCACTGAACAAACTTCTGTTGGCATAAGTAACCAAAAGATTTTAAAAGCATCTCCTATACCTCCTATAGAGAATTGTACCATGGAACTACAAATTGTACTGAAAAATCATCGATGCAAGTTGTATTTGCAGATATATAAATCCAGAATTCAAGCATAGCTATGCAGATACATTTATTTATTAAGCATATTTCTATGCCATTGCAACTGAAACACTCTCAGGAGGTTACATAGAATAAATAATACCATTTAAAACAACCATGGTACAATGTTAAAATCTAAACATCATACAAATAATAAAAGAATTGCAAAACAATAACCATAAAAATATCTATCTATCTTTGCATATGTCGTAGTAGGGGACAAAACCTGAATCAGAATCCTTCCTAATGTGGGCATTACTTCTGAAAGGAAAATGTCTCTTGGAAATCCAGATTATCTCTTTCCCATTATTTTGTGAATAGGAGAAGTGATTGGTGAGCTGATCTCTAAGGATCTGTTGATGTAGCAATCATGTACCCTAGAAGAAGAATAAAGCTGAAAACTATTATAATAGGTTGGAGATATTGAGCTGAAAATAGCAGACTAAGGTTAACAGAGATAAGTGTTCAACAGTGGGACCAGTTGTCCAAAGAAAAGGTAAGATTCCCATCATAGGAGGTGCTCAGGAGAAGGCTGGAGAGCCATCTTCTGGGGATGCTTTAATTTGGGTTCCTGTCCTGAGCAGGGAGTTGGACCCAATGGCCCCTTTCAGCTCTTTATTTCTGTGAGATTTGTATTAATACCACCATTACAGTGGGGCAAAAAAGTATTTAGTCAGCCACCAATTGTGCAAGTTCTCCCACTTCAAAAGATGAGAGAGGCCTGTAATTTTCATCATAGGTATACCTCAACTATGAGAGACAAAATGGGGGAAAAAATCCAGAAAATCACATTGTCTGATTTTTAAAGAATTTATTTGCAAATCATGGTGGAAAATAAGTATTTGGTCACCTACCTCTCTCATCTTTTTAAGTGGGAGAACCCTCTCTCATCTTTTTAAGTGGGAGAACCCTCTCTCATCTTTTTAAGTGGGAGAACCCTCTCTCATCTTTTTAAGTGGGAGAACCCTCTCTCATCTTTTTAAGTGGGAGAACCCTCTCTCATCTTTTTAAGTGGGAGAACCCTCTCTCATCTTTTTAAGTGGGAGAACCCTCTCTCATCTTTTTAAGTGGGAGAACCCTCTCTCATCTTTTTAAGTGGGAGAACCCTCTCTCATCTTTTTAAGTGGGAGAACCCTCTCTCATCTTTTTAAGTGGGAGAACCCTCTCTCATCTTTTTAAGTGGGAGAACCCTCTCTCATCTTTTTAAGTGGGAGAACCCTCTCTCATCTTTTTAAGTGGGAGAACCCTCTCTCATCTTTTTAAGTGGGAGAACCCTCTCTCATCTTTTTAAGTGGGAGAACCCTCTCTCATCTTTTTAAGTGGGAGAACCCTCTCTCATCTTTTTAAGTGGGAGAACCCTCTCTCATCTTTTTAAGTGGGAGAACTTGCACAATTGGTGGCTGACTAAATACTTTTTTGGCCCACTGTATATAGCAACTGCATATTCTCACATAGGTAAGTACACCATCTATCCACACATATAAACACATGGATTAGGTTTTAGTGAATCCTTTTGCCTTTGGGAGTTATTTGGAATCAGAGATCTTAATTTTTCCCATAACTTCTACAATTGTTTAAAAATGTTGCTCCTATGACTATTGGGTGGCATTGGAGTGTGACTTGACCTGTCATGGGGTAAGACTGCCACAAATTGGACTAGGTTGCTAATGCTGTTCCAAGTCAAAGGCAAGTCCTAACATAGACTCATATACTGCAATTGTGGTGATCTTTGTAATTTCTGGTTACATGTTTTATAGGGTGGTATTGTTGCTTTGCACAATAGGGTTGCCAAGAGAATACTATATGTAAAAAGTTAGTACAAGGTCCTTATTGGGAATCATTGGATGTACATAACCAGATGTTATTCTCTGAGATTCAAATCCTCTACCAAGAATTGAATTCATTGACCATTGCACTTTAGATGACTAAATATAGTGCAACTTCACGAGCTATCCAGGTCCAACGCTCAGTGCTGTTGTTGGACGGAATATATATAATTGATTAGAATGGTATATACAGTCCATTTCCCCTCAAAATCTCAGAGAACGTGTGAGAGATAGTTGTGTACAAGGTTTTTACTTGACTTTCACCCTCTCTCACTCCCCCGGGCTGGTGGTGGATTTCTCTATTTTTACACAATCTATATGTGGTGTTTCCAGTTATACTGACCACAAGGAGGCAATACAAACTACTGTAATTTCATTCTTATTGGGAATCATCAGATGTACATAGCCAGATCTTAGTCTATAGGATTCAAGCCCTTTACTGGGAATCTAATGTTGTGTAAATCATTTTGTGGGTTTAAAAATGGACTATTTCTAAAAGTACTTTATGCTTGGCAGTTATGCAGGATAGGCATGGCTGATCAGTGAATGTGGAATGGGGAGATAGCTTGGAAGTACGGTTTGCTTTGTAATAAACATCACTGAATGACCGTGGTCTTGAATCAATTTTTCAGTACAGACCTACCTCACAGGACTATTGTGAAAAGAAAATAAATAGACAAATCAATATTTTTTATCATGTTGGAAATTCCTTGAGAGAAGAATAGGATGCAGATGTCATAGCAAATAATTCAGCTCATATAGTGGTTGTTTGAAGAAGTAAACTGTACAGTAAGAACTGAAAATATAAGATTGCAATCTATAATGCATGTATATATATATCAAGGATTCAAACACAATCACAACTTCCAGATCATGCTCACTACATATCTGGTATCACCATGAGTCTTTTCTTCATGTTTTTATGGTATTTGCTATTGCAAAGTTCTTGGCGTACAGATGGTAGAAGTGTAAATCTTTTTACATTTTACAAGTAAAACTTGTAAAATATGCCTTTATCTTAATTGCAGTCAACAGTTACTAAAGAAATACGAAATCTAGAAAAACAGTTCATGAATCTTGTCTTGCTTATATGTACTGATCCAGTTCCCAAAGAATCTTAAACAAGTTACTTTTTGGCTGTGTTGTCATAACACACTCAATCAGGTCAGGCAAAGACGTAGCAACATGTTATGGTTGGTTAGTATAACCTCACTTAGGTTTTTTATAGCTCAGTGAGAATCCAGCCGATATGGTTAGTTTATGATTTTCTACAATCCAGAAAATAGATGAAATTGGTAATTAGATTAAGTATGTTGTATGAACACAGTAATAAGCCTTTCTGCAACTTCTGTAATTGTCAGTTTTGAGAAAATACATATAATTGATGTTGCAGAATCTATCTAACCTTCTAAAGAGATGGGACAGTATAAAAGCCATAAATAGTGAGCTATGCTAGACTTATATGGTAACGATATTTAAGATTGTAATGTTTTCAGTACTATTTTTTCATTCAAGTGTTATTACTCCAAAACTGTCTGAACAAGGTAGAATACCCACTTCTTAGCCAACTAAAGCAACTAAACTTGTCAGTCATGCAGGACTAAACAGTAGCTCCTGTGTTGCTGCTCTTATTGCAACAAGGGCCCTCTATAATTACATGTGACTGGTGAATTTGCTTCACTTGATTTGCTAGGAAGTGGGTGGTCTGAATATATTGTTTTTTTCTAGAACTGGTAGCTGAACATGGTTTTGATTTTTTTTCCTTCATCAAAGCTGATGGTTTATGTGACCAGCAAATTTGTTTGATTTGACTGGCTGGGAAATGTGTGGTCTAGGCTGTTCTGCCTCTTTTTGGATATTTATTATTATTAAGTTGTTAAAGTATAATACTGAAAGGGTTTTTATTTTTAGTAATCACTAATACATTATACTGTTTATCCTTGACTTTCATTTTAAAAGTATCTGTTCCAGCCTGTTCCATTCTGGCATTTGAAGCCTAGTGGAAGATAATTTTAGCTTCTCAATTCTATTATGGTGTTAGAATTTTATTTCTTACCAGGTTCATTTCTGAGCCAGGATGAAAAAAGACCACAGGCAGTTGCATGAAATTAAGTTCTTTATTCTTCACCCAAAAGCAAAAGCGATGACAGCAAGCTGTTAGGTGGGCAGCTGCGCAGGACCTTCTCCCCTCAGTACAATATATATATTCCATTCAGCTCTTCCTTTAGAATATCACCCCTTACTCAGTCACCCATTTCCCATCTTAGTATCATTCCATATTAGGGCCTGCCTGCCTGCCTCCAAAGGCCCTGTTGACCACCTAAACACCTTTTTTGTAGGAAGAAACTATCCTAAGAATGTACACCTTATCTTGTTTCTATGGGTACAGCTTCTTATCTATCAAGGTTAGTGAAAAAGGCCTCCAAGCTTACAAACTTGAAGAAAACAATAAAACAGGATTCAGAAATCCTTATGAAAGTCTAAATGCTTCAATACTAAATATAAGAAATATATATATATATATATATTGTGTGTGTGTGTGTAAATACTAAATATGAAATATATTTGTATGTATTTATATAAAGTCTTATATCAATGGTCTGCATTGTATATGAAATCCAAGCTGGGGAAAACATTCTCTGGATTTCAAACCAGTAGCCTCTTAGCAATTCCACCCCCCACCCCCGCCATTGTTTTCTCACTTTCAGGGTTACAAATTATGTTAATAAGGATAAACCAACTAAACAGATTGTTAAAAATAAATAAACCAGGCCTCAAGGCATGTGTCAGAACAAAATAGGCGTGCTCTAAAGAAAACTTCTGATGACTTGCTTTGAGTTTGCAATAAGCAAATACCGTAGCGCTAACCGTCATAACTCTCGCTTTCTAGATACGCTGTCTTTCTCACTGGCTGGTAAAAGCAAGACTCCCACTTACAAAAAACTGCAATGACCAGAAAGCCTTGCGGAATGGAGGCGGGAAGAAGTCTCCCATTGGCCCAATAAGTTACTAAGGCTGTCGCGATTGGGCTCTAGCCTCCCCTTCGCGAGGGGTGGCGGAAGTGCGGGGTACGGTGGCCGTAATTGGACTGGGGAGCCTATCTGTTACGGAGTAAATGCCTGATCTGCCAGGCTGGTCTTGCAACTCGGCTCCTTGTTTCGGTTTTGCCCTCAGAGAGATGGGGAGCCAGATTTCGAGTCTCCGCGGAGGCCGCTGGCCATGAAAGGCAGGCATTCGGCAGGGAGCTCAGCACCTGCCGTTGCACAGGAACCGCTTGGCGCGGGGGGCTCTCCGCCTGGGTGAGTCCGGGGTCGGCTTGGGACCCTTCTCTCTCCTTCTTTCTGGCTGGCTGGTAAAAGCAGCCAGTCGGAGCTGGAATCCCGCCAGGCACGTTGGGCGATCTGCGCACCCCGGCCGCTAATCTCTCGCGTGTGCGGAATTTCTTTAACGGACACTCTGCGTATGCTCTGAGTCCCTTCCCTAAAGCTAAGCACATTAAGCGGCTGAGCTACCGCTCTCGGATGAGGTTCCGGGCCTAAGGCTCCTGGTCCTCTCGCCTCCCCGCCCCGTGTTTCCAGATTCCGTGCGGGGCACGAGCAGTCGTCTTTTGAAGTTGTTCTTCTGGCGTGCTCAGCCCCGCCTCGGTTTATCTCCCTGTCCTTCATCATTGTTAGCTGGTTTGTTACTTGTTTTCTGAAAAGTATTCCCATACAACAGTTGTCCCGCATGCTTCATAATTCTGGCTTGCCGTGATATGTGAACGTGGCCGATAAGTGTGAGGGTGACTGAGCAAGGATTTGGAAATGTCTTCCTGGTTCAAGCAAACTAAATCTGTATCTAGAGGCCTATATTGGCTCTGTCTCCACCGCTATTTTGACATTTCCCTACCACTCTCTGGCCTTAATTCTCAGCCTGTAAAGTTTAATCTTAATGCTCCCTTCTTTTTCTGCTTTGAGAACTTCAGATGTGGCCTCTGAAACATGCTGGGATCTTCCTAACCAACCCACAATCTTCCGATTCTGTCATCGTGGCTCTTCAGGAACTCACTCTGCTCTCCTTCACACACACTTTTAGTTATTGCCTTTATGACAGGTACCTGATGCTGCCCATGCATGGTAAGCAAGCTGCATTTGAGATTTCTGTAGATCTACAGACATAGCCATAACCTTTGCACTGGTTGCATGTTTTATGAGGCAAGAGATCATGTGGGGCTACTCCAGATACTTTTTGCTTAGTACCTAAAGTAGGCATACATAATGCGTGTACATGCAAACTACAGAGAGGAAAAGTTGGCTCCTTTTTTTGCAATGGTCATATTAGAAGCAATTCTTTAAAGAAAAGGCCAAAATTGAATTCAGCTTTTCTGTGTGAATTGTCAGAAATATTAGAAATTATTTTATGTATGTGATCTCTGCTTATACAAGGTTTTAAGTTCCTTGTTGATCATGCCCCGTTTTTTTCTAATAGATGAACCTTCTCATTCTACCAGTGAACAATCATTAGAAAAAAGGATAAATTCTGGACTGATAGTTTTCTTTAACTGTCCTGATTATGAATGTGAAACCAGTTACTAAGACTATCTGAGGCATTTCTCTGTTTGCTCCCACAGTTTTCACTCAAATTACTGTTTCTTCTGGAACACACCAAATGTTTATTTCCTACAACTGTTCATTTTCTACTCCAGTCAAAGTTTTGAGAATCTAGTATTATTTTCCAAGATCCATGCTTTGCTTATGATCACCTGTAAGTTTACCCTGACATTTTTTTATAGGTATCTGTTTACTTTTGCTTTGGCCAAAGAGATTTTTCTCTTTCCTTGATTACTCTTAGCTTTCATTGCTGCATATCATAGACCTCTTCTCCCTTATTATTATACTGAAATATCTTGTGTTCTTCTCAGCTGGCTGAATACTTGTCTCTCTAGCTTTGTGTTTTTGCACTGTTTAATAGACTAGCAGAGATAAGTGGCACATGGAGTAGAAGAGACACAGGAGGACTTTTTGGTGACTGGTAGGAACTGCAAATATAATTTGTTTAAGTACAAATGGTGAAGGTGTTCATATTACCATCTACTGGTATTTGGATCTGCTCTTTAAGGAGGCCCTTTCATTAAATCTTAATTATCAGAGGATCTCATGTCTCATAAGAAAAAGTTGAAAGAGTTTGGTATTGTATGCAAGTATTTCACTTGTCAGTATGTCTTATACTGATATAGATCTCAGCAGACATACTTCTAAAGGTTAATGTTTAAACAGTGAGTGAAGCAGATTCTCTTTCAGAGCCTGTGTTATATGTATGAAAACGTTAAGATTTCTTTTGTGGTGTCATGTGGATGAGGACATTTGTGTGTCTGCATGCTTCTGTGTACGTGCCAGTAACTTGGATGAAAGCAGCTACAAACGCATTGAAATCTTGTTATTCCATTCAGCACTTTGGCTCTGAAAGGATATAGTAGTTATTTGTACCGAACTTGGCTTACTTTTTCTGCTGTGAACTTTGATTTTTTCCCCTGGAAATGTTTATTAGATCACATGACTTGTGTAAAACAAAAGCTACAATACATATGTATAAATATTTTCCTGATAACAAGAACAACAAATAGATGGTCCTGAGTCAACCAAGATGGCAGGAGCTGCTCACAGGAAGAACTCTCAATTAGCATCCCTCAGTGGCAGTATACTTGTACCTCACAGAGAAGAATTGGGGTCAGAAGATGTAGCCTGATGGTGCTCATCCCATTTCCCCCATCTTTTAAGTCAGTCTTCTTGCAACTTGGTGCACAAGTGTATGTTGGACTTCAGCTTCTATAATTCTACCATGAAACTCACTAGGTGATTTTGTGACAATCATTGTTTTCTGAGCCCAACCTACCTCATAGGTTTATTGTGAGAATAAAATGACGACGTACCCCCCTTCTTCCTGTAAAACCTGGGAGTTGTAGTCACAACATATACAGAGGACACCAGCTTGGTGAAGGATAGCTAAGAACTTCAGTACTATTTTTGGAGTCAGTGATATTCTCTAGTGTTTCAGGTTATTGCTTAAGTCTTTTGTAGCGTCGTTGATGTGACTATTGTCACAAAAACCATTATTAGCCAATTTTTTGCAGGCTTTTAGATTTAAAAAAACAGTATATGCTTGCCAAGATCTGAAGTACAGCTGAAGTACAAATTCAGTACAACAGTTGGGAGTACAGCTAGCAAAGCTACTAATGTTTACCATGGTAAATATGGTACATAGGATATGACTTTTGAAGTTGAAGGTTATTTTCAAAGTTGTCTGAAACAGTGTAGTGTTCTGCTGCTTTAAGAAGAAAAGTAAATACAAAAATGCACATACATATAGCTAGCACATATAACATAGCCAAGGTGTATTGGTCTGCAATTTCCAAGACCTCCAGGTATCTTGGAAGGTAGGGGAAAATTGCAATAGATTGTATTGCATGCACTTCTGTCAATTGGATTTAGATGTTGCTTAAATGGAACTATTTTGTAAACTTCCATTTTAGCCTTGTATGTATTTGGAAAATCTTTGGAAGCTTTACTATTTGAGCATGTAGGGAAGAACATTTTTTTTTACTTGTGTAGTAGATGGAGGTCTTTGAAGTTTGTTCTGCAGCTGCAAGGCTAAATGGACAAACTGATTAGAAAAAGGAAAGTAGCTTGCCCATTATTTAACATTCCACAAGCTATAGCCATAGATCCCTCAAGAGATACAAGGAATTCTCTTTCATGTGTATGTATTTTAGGTAGCAACTTCTGGAATGCAAGAAGTTTGAATTGTAAGGGACAATATACTAAACATTTGCAGAAATTCTTTGACTATATCAAGCAACCTACAGGTGGATTTAGGTTTTTCTCTCTCTGATCATGCTGCTAATTCAGCAGGTTTTGGGGATGTTGTTTGTGGGAAATAGTGGCCTTTTTGCCATAGGATCTAGGCTGTATATATATGTTAAATACAGTTATGAATCATTCATGTGAGCTGATATGTAAATAAAAAAACCCAGTAAGCTTAAAAATATTATTCAATCACAGGAACAAATAAATCCTTTGTATTATAAGGATTTATGTATGTATATATAAAAATAAAGAACATTAAAAACTTGACCAAAATGGAAGCATATTTCTTGCACAGTATTAGACAGAGGATGCCAGTGTAAAAAACTCCTACCGCAGGAAGTTTAATTAGAAAAGGACCTGTCCATTAAAGTAGTTGCTCTAAATATACTACGCCATACATAATGGGGTACATTTATTTATTTATTTATCAAATTTATATGGCTGCCCATCTCACAAAAAGTGACTCTGCGTAGTGTACAGCAAAAAATATAAAAATAATAAACATGTTAAAAGCAGTCAAAAAGTTAAAAAAAATAAAACACACAAGAAATTAGATCAGCAAGGGAGCCCTCTCAAGATTTCACCGGTCCCCTGAGATCCCCAGGCCAGATGACATGGCCAGGTCTTGAGGGACTTCTGGAAAATAAGTAGGGATGGAGATGACCTCACTTTGTGGGGTGTGTGTGTTAATTTCATGACATTTATTTACATACTGTCCCTCTCCCAAGGTTTTGAGTGCTTTACAAAGTACATTTCAATCCTGATCAACAAGATCAGACATGATCAAAGATCAAAGATGTCACCATTAAAATTCAAATGCTTTCCTAAACAAGATTCTTTTAATTCCTTCATGAAGGAGTTTATGTGGTAGGATGTAGTCCTCAGATATCTTAGCCTTAAACTCTGTGTCGTGTCAAGCTGGAGGGAAGTACTGCTTGGTGTACTACAGGGCTCTATTCTATCCCTGTGTGTTTAACATATCATTAAATTACCTGGATGAATGATTAGAAAATATTTGCAGCCAACACAAATGTAGGCAGATTGCAAAAACTTAGAAGCTAATATCAAAATCTGAGGGATTTTGATAAACTGAAACACTGGTCAGAAACCAGCAGGATGAATTTCAGCAGGAACAAATGCAAATTCTTATGTTTGGGTAAGAAAATCACAGGCATGAGTATAGGATTGAGGCCATACTGGATAGCAGTATATGTGAAAAGGATCTTGGTGTCTTGATGGATCACAAGATGAACATGAAGCAACAGTATGATGCAGCAGCAAGAAAAATCAAATGGGTTGTCAGGATCAAAAGAAGAAATAATTTCTTTCTATTCTGCTTTGGGCAGACCACACCTAGAAAATTGTATCCAGTTCTGGGCACTACATTTTAGGAAGGACACTGGCAAACTGGAATATCCAGAGCAGAGCAACAAAGATGATAAAGTCTCTGGAAGGAAAAACTTACTAGGAACACTTGGAGGGTTTGGATATATTTAGCCTGAAGGAGAGAAAACTGGGGAGACATGGTGGCTGTCTTCAAATATTTAAAGAGTTGTCAAGTATTAGGGCAAAATTGTTCAGAGTTGTTCTAGAAGCGAGGACAAGTAACAGTGGATTTAAATTTCAAGGAAATAGATTTTGGTTGAACATAAGGAAAAATATGGTTAATAATAAAAGCTATTCAACAATGGAACAGATTTCCTTAGAAAATGGTGGACTCACTTTAGCTGCAGGTATTTAATAGAAGTTGGATGACTATCTGTCAGGGATGCTATAGTTGTACATTCCTATACTAGGCAGTATGCTTATGAAGTTTCTCAGCCATCCAGGTGGAATTGTCTGGAGGTTGGATCATGGCAACTGCACTTCTTTTCATTTTTAGTAGAGAGGTTTCGCTACTTGTTCAAGCAGCTTCTTCGGTCTAAAAAAGTTGGTTAGGGGGACCCCATAAAAGCCTTCCAGGGTGGCTGTGTTTCCTACTAGCATGATAGGCTTGTTGAGGGACAATATACTAGGCAGGGGGTTGGACTAGATCATCTTCAAGATACCATCAAACTCCTACATTCAGTGAGTCTCTCACAGTTCATAGATAAAAAGCAATGTCTTGAATTTTGCTCAAAACAGTGAAGAAGTTCCAAGGTTGATAATACAGTACACGGTTTTCAAAATGCAAGCTTCACAGATGTCTGGCCACCGTATTTTGTCCTGGCTATAGTTTCCAGGCATTTTTCAAGGAGACCCCGTATAGAGCACATTACAATAATCTTAATAAATTGTGCTCTAAAAGTGCACCATGGTTTCTGGGGCTCCCCTTGCCTATTATAGCTGTCACAAACTGTACCAAGGGCAACATACAATCAGAGAAAGAACTTTTAGGCATTCCAGTGTCTTTGCTGTGTTGCTTAAGCCATACACAGAAGGATTTCTGGATACTGTAGTGAGCTCTTGAGCCATTCTGTCCTATGGCATTTGAAAAGCAACTGCTGTATTTCACTGCTTGATTCCTAGTATTTCACCAAATTGTTGCTTAAGCTTTGCATAGTCCAACATTTTGCTAAAGGAATATGCTAAATCTTCAGCTCTGAACTATTATCCCTGATCATCAACAGTCAACATAAACAATTTATTTGAAACATTTTCCCCAGTTCTGCAATCCAATAAGCCTCCAGAACAATCTTCCCTCCCCCTGCCCCCCCAAAAAGAGAGATAGACACAAAGAAACAAAGAGATGTGTAAGGGGAAAGGAGGAACACAAAAAGCATACTGGTGGTTTATTTGGTTGGCCTGATTGGAGAGAATGTTTCCTCGTGAACTGAGTGTACTTAGGTTTCCACTTCATCTTTCCGCATTCTGGGTTGGCATTTTTTTCTTCTCTTTTTTCTTTCTTTAGTTTCTTTAGTTTTTCTTTACATTCCCAAGTTCAAATTGAATCTGTTTATTTTTCCCTTGTTTCAAGGTGAGATGGTTCCTCAAAAGCTCTTCTCACACTAGTTGGGGGTTGGGTTGGTGCTATTAAGAGCTATTTGATAGCAGTTGACCAAAACTGTTTTATGCAGTTTTGGTTTAGCTTTTTTTGGGGGGGGGGTGCCATATTTGTCCCAATGCAACCCATGATGGATGCAATATAAGATAAACCAAGGATCTGACTGTAATACTCCATCACCAAAGCTAAGCAAAACTTTTGAAAGAGGTGCTTTGCAATGTGCAGAAGCACAAAAAAGCACTTCTAATGGTTAAAGCAGATACAAATTTTTCAAGGCTCATGCAGCTGCTTCAGAAACTGAATCTAGCTGTCTGCATGTGTATGGTGCTTTGCTTTGCTTTTTTCCCCTTCTTTAATGATTCAGCGAGAATTGCTTTGTTCATGCTTCTGCTCATTGTAAAGAACTTCTTTTAAAGACTTTGGAGCAGGCTACCACGCACCAGTTACACTTTAGCCTGTATGGCATCTGCCTTCCAGTAATTGTCTTTCCCAGCCTTCTTACCCAGTAATCTACAGCAGAAATGTTGGAGACTGAACAAGAGATCTTTATGCATAAAAACCCTGCAGATGTGTTTCTTTATATGAATTAGTCAGTACTGTATTGAAAATTTAGTAGAAAAATAATTGCTTCCTCTTTAGTTTTTGTTTCAGTATTTTCTTGACAAATGGAAGAAGCTCATTGGGGAATGCTGATTTTATCAATCTCGTGACCTCCAGGTGTGTGGACTATAACTCTTATCATCCGTTGCCAGCAGAAATGCAGGATACAAATGTTCACAAATACTTCTCTTTTGTGTCCCTTATAACTTTGGTTGTGCTCTCCTAAGATTGTTGATAAGGAGGACTTCAAAAGATATCTTCTTACTTGTGATCTACTGGCATTGACTTCAGTCAAAGTTGGAATAGGAAAGAAATATGATTTGCTCTTGGGTACAGGTAGTCCTCCCTTCATGCCCACTCATTCAGCAACCGTTCAAAGTTACGACAGTCCTCATAATTGCAGCCATCACAGCATCCCTGTGGTTACATGATCACGATTTGGGTGCTTGGCAACCGGCTTGCAGTTATGACATTGCAGCATCTCACAGTTATGGGATCACCATTTGAGACCTTCGCTGCCAGCTTCCAACGAGCAAAGTCAATGAGAAGCTGGCAGGAGGTTGCAAATTGCAATCACTGTGATTGCATGGGATTTACCTAACTGGCAACTGGGCTGCCATCATAAGTTGGCGTGGTCATGTGATATTGTACCTTACAATTACATCGCTTAGTGATGGAGTTCCCGGTCCCAATTACTGTTGGTAAGCGAGGACTACCTGTACTCTAGGATAGTAAAAGTAATGAGACTTGTCACAGACATCTGCTTTTTCTGTGACCTCCATTTCTGCCTGTTTTCTTACCTGGGCAGTCTGCGGGCATCAAATGTCACAAATCTTCTTGGAAGGTAAATTGAAGAGATCTACAGTATTAAAAATAGATGAAATGACAGATTGTATCTCAAGGAAGGAGACAGTTGTCTTAATGGATACTTTAAATAAAAATGCTGAGCCCTACTTAAATATTATGCAAATACTTTTCTTGAGCCAACTACATTCTGGCATCTCTTCTGAATGGGCTACTTTGTCATATTCTGTAAATTTTTTCTTGGTACTTTTCCAAAGGTTTTACAGTAATAGAATTATTATCAGTTAATTTCTTAGACTATAAATTTTCAGTAGAATTGCAATAAATTGTATTATTTATGCTATTTGGAAAGTGATAGACTAAGACTTCTTCATGTTTGCTTTCTTCTTTGTGTTTTTTTAATTTATTTTTTGACACTAGTCTCATGATCCTGATTCCTCTTTCACATCTGTGTCTGTAACCTGGAGGACTGAGTACCAAAGTAAAGATCCATTAGTATCTGCTGCCTTCCAGATGTTTGGGTTCACAACTTCTGGAAACCCTTATCATTGGCCTTGTTGGCTGGGGCTGCTGGGAATTGATCTTCATTAGAAATGTGGATTTTTGTAAAAGGTATGCTTATGGTACTCAAAAGAAGGACGGACGACAAGGTCATAATGTCAATATTTCCATCTATAAAATTCTTTCTGTTCTTCTGTTGTATGTCACTGGGATCTTTCCTGCATTATTCAGCTGTAGAAATCTGGGGAAAAATAATGTAAAATTTGATTTGGAAAGCCAAGAGGAGGTTATTTGAACCATTTCATATCTTGTATTTACCCGAGAGGAAGATGACTCTGAATGCAAGATAGTGCTTCTCCAGAAAAAGGAAGGTTATAAGGAGAGAAACACATCAGTCTCTATTGTCATATTCTCAGGAAATCTAAAATGAACCTATCCCTCTTTTTTTAAAGTTAAACTGGGGTAAAAACACCTAGTCCTCCTTTCAGGTAACAATAGTATTATATTTTTTAAAATGTACCTCTAAAACTAATAGGTGAATGGGACTATAGTATGTCTGCAAAAGGTCTCTCATCAGAAAGCCTGCAGATGCAGATTAATGATTTTTGCCTAATATATAAAATAGTATTTTATTTTGTTACTATTATTTTCTAATTTATTAGATGAATGTAATATTGATGTCAATGTTTAAAGTAACATGCAAGTCAGACTTGAATAGGCACTCCTCTGTTCATCCCCAGTTATACTTTTTCTGTCATGAGAAAACATGTAGTTCAATGGCTGTACTGAACTAGTTTGTTCTTTGTACGTGATATTTTTTATCTTGAATGGAGGGAGAAATTTTATTTGGCTGCTATAGTGGCATAGTCCCTTATGAGGTGAATCAGACATACAGTATGTCATTTTGGCAAAATGAATATAGGGTGTCAGTGCGATTCTTCCAACTGATCTGATTTAGCAAAGAAGGCTAAGGAGGTAGAAAAGCAGATTGTATAGCAAATGTGGGTCCCCTAAAATTTGAGGTGACTTTCTCTGGGCAACCTCTCTCTCATCAGATAGCACTAATGGCCATCCACAGGAGATGTATTTGTTCCCAAAGTATTGTGCATGATCTTGGTGACAACCTTATCTCCTCTCTTCTGAATTTCAGTTCATTGCTATGGACAGTGCTATCACCTTGTGGCAGTTCCTTTTGCAACTTCTTCAGGAATCTCAGAATAAGGATATTATCTGCTGGACCTCCAATGATGGAGAATTCAAACTTTTGCAGGCAGAAGAGGTGGCCCGTCTTTGGGGGATCCGTAAAAACAAGCCCAGCATGAACTATGACAAACTCAGTCGTGCACTCAGATATTATTACGTAAAGGTAATTCTGGTCTGTGACCATAATAAAGATGATATATATTATTACGTAAAGGTAACTCAGCCTTTTGTTTGCCTCAAATGTTTAACTTTCCTTGCATTCCAGTGGCTCTAGAATTAGTTTTTTTTTCTTCACTGACCTCAGTGGCAGGAATGCTGCTTGTAATTTTATAATACGCAAATTGTAGCATTCAGCACATTGCTACAGAATAATGCAAGTGCCATTGAATACTGTCTACAGACTTTGAAATGGCTGTAGTTCATACCGTTCTGCTAAATATTTCATGTGTTCATTTCCCTTCAGCTACATCAAAATGTTATATACAGCCAGCTTTGAATACTTGATGGTATCTTGAATTTCTTGATGCTGAAATGCACCATCGATACTGATAGAAGTATTATACCCGAGATCAGAAATTGGCTTATATTATATTGCCTTCTGAATCAACACAATAAAATATACAGTTGACTGAATCCATGTTCATTATGAGCAAACTTTTTTTAAAGCTGTGCTGTACTTTTAAATCCATTATTTATTTTTATTGTTGACGGATTTGTTGGTGTATGGCTGTCCTGACAGAGTGAAATGGGAAGTACATTCTTAATTTCCCCAGTGCTATATGCTTTTTGACAAGTGGATGTTTGTCCTCAACAGTTGGGTATGTGTCCTGATTAGAACATGGATGTGTACCCCCAAATCCCTATGAAAGACACCTTGTACTTTCAAAACAAAAGTGAGGAAAGATGTAGGTTTGAATCCAGAACTACGCAGAGATTCTTTAGCCCATTGAGATCAGTGGGACTGAATCAGTCACAGTTCCCTCATCTTTATTTAATGATACTGCCTCCTTGACTAGATGAACTATGTCTGGAACAAGTATTCAAGCAGGGGGTGCCTAATGCCTGTTTTATTTTCGATGTTTTCACAGAACATCATCAAAAAAGTTAATGGTCAAAAGTTTGTTTACAAGTTTGTATCTTACCCAGAGATTTTGAATATGGATCCGCTGGTTGTTGGCAGTATTGAGGGTGAGGCTGAGGCACAGGCTGGCTTTGTTGATACTAGCAACACTACAAAGGACATTGAGACTTACGGGAAAGAGAAGCATCAGGCCTGTGCAAAATCCTCCAGTCGCAATGACTATATCCACTCAGGCCTATATTCTTCATTTACTTTGAACTCTCTTAATTCCTCCTCTTGTGCAAAACTGTTTAAGCCAATTAAGATGGAGAATTCAGCTGAGAAACTGGCAGAGAAAAGAACTTCTCAGGATCCGACACCTTCAGTCATAAAATTTGTGACCATGTCCTCCAAAAGGCCTTCAATATCTCCCCTTGCCTCGACTATTCAACTGACTTCTACTATCTCTGCTGCCTCTGTCCTATCTTCAGGTTCAGATGAAAGTCTCCAGGCTTTGGAATCTTTAGTAACACCTAAAGGGGCAACCACTGAAAGTTCAGCATCTTTGCCAGGCTTGACCTCTAATTGTAACTCTACATCTCCTGCAACCTCCACATCTCCTAGTCTCCAGGTTCCACCCAAATCTCCCTTGCCACCGTTAAGCTCTAATTCTGATCTGGTTATAGACACAGAAACAGAGTCTGTAGTTTGCCAGCAGCTAGAGCACTCTCAGAATCAAGCCTCAGAGGTTAAAGAGCAGGGTTCCTCCATGTTTGAAAAGGATCTTCGTCATAGCAGAACTAGAAAGCCCAAAGGGCTGGAGATTACTCCCACTCTGGTTATTACTGGCAGTGACCCCAGTCCACTGGGAATACTAAGCCCATCTCTACCAACTGCTTCTCTTACACCAGCACTTTTTTCACAGGTAATCCTGTCTTTTACTTCAAACCCAAATTCTATATGTGGACTAGCAATAGTGTAGAAGCTTGACTGCTGATTCTTGGGAAAGAAGGGTGCTTTTTTTTTTTTTAAGCTTGGGAATAAAAGTAGGTATTTAAGAGGCTGGATGGCTATCTAGCCAAGGTTGTTGTTCACCAGATAATTGTCAAAATCTGTTTAGTATTTTATATTAGTCTGTGCTTGATGGAGTTGATGCAGAATGCTTAATGTTGCTGGAGGTTTTTGAAATATTACCTTTTCTTAAGAGACCCAAAGCTTCCTAGACATTTTAAAAATTATTCCTAGTAAGGACAAATGCCAACGTTTCACTGTTTAACCATGGTTATCTAATTAGGAGTTGCTATGAGATAATACCTTCTCTCCCTCTTAGAGAGAAACTTCTTCAGCTGTTGAAGACCATATTTAATTATTATGCCTACAGCAACATTATGTGCAGCTAAATTTTTACTTAACATAGCATTTTAAAAATTTGTTTCTAGGTAGTTTCATATTCTAAATTAAGCAAGAACCCTAATGTACTTTCAGCTATAAGTTAATTTTGCTGCAGATATAAAAATTGACCATAATGAGTAAGCAAGTGAGTTGAATGCAATGAAAAATAGAGAGGTGATGGAGAATAGACAATCCAATAGAATGATTTAACTATGATTAAGTAGTTGGGATTAAATCCCAAAATGGCAACCTTGGAAAATTCTGTAAAATATAATGTGGGGGTGATTGTATGTATTTAGAAGATTTATAAGCCACTTTTTAGGGGTAAAACCTCCCAAGCTGTAAAGTTCCAGAAAACAGTAAAACAATGATCAAAATGAAAACAAAAGTAAAATCAGAGTAACAACTTGAAGCTGATGCTTTAGATTCATGGAATTCAGTGAACATATCAGAATATGACTTGTCTTATATGTAATTTAAAAAAAATTAATGTGAATTCTGCCTAGTTCTATTTTATGATCATCTGTTCAGGGCATCACTTTTTTTTTTGTTAAAAACGTGTTTTCACAGGTCACTTGTTTTATTTTTGTCCCATCAGTGTTTCTTGAGCAGGAAATAAAATAATAATCTAATGAAGTCAGACAAAACTAATAAGGTTTCCCCTCCATCTCACCATACCTGTTAGGATCTGACACTGAAACAGAGAAAATCTTGGTTCATGTCCTCCTCTTGCTGTATCCGAAAGAGGTAGATAGCTGATCAAATTGTCTTCCCATTTTTGCAGTGTGACATAGTTTTCAGTGCATAGACTAGACAGAACTAGTTCGGGATTTTCATCTTTTATAATGCATTTGTGTGAGCTGTGGATAAAATATGAGATAGCTTATACTGCATGCAAGTAAGAAGAAAGCACAAATGTTGGGAATTAATTCAGATAATTCCAGATGTAGTTTCCCCCCCCCCTTAGAATGTGTTTCATTGAGTTCCCCTTTTATTGTTGCTTTACACATACTAATAAAAAAAATCTATAAATCAAAGTGACTTTCTTCTCTTCATCAACTGTCATTTTGGAGTCTGATCCCAGACTACAGTAGTGATGTTAAAACAAATGTCTTGCCTTAGTGGTATTAGAAGCTTGTTAGCCATATTGAACTTAATGAGTATTTCCAAATGATTAGTTTTATCCTATTGTTCTATATGTCCCACAGACACCTATTTTACTGACGCCAAGCCCCTTGCTCTCCAGTATCCATTTTTGGAGTACTCTCAGCCCAGTTGCTCCCCTCAGTCCAGCAAGATTACAAGGTGCTAATACCCTCTTCCAGGTATGTTTCAGATCATGACAACAATCAAAGTCCATGTATCAGATATTTCCTAAATATTCATGTAAGTGTGAGCCTTTTTCTTCATTAGGACAAGGTTGTGCAACCTTATTTAAGCCAAGGGTCTGTGATGGAATGGACTTATGAAGGCCAGGCTCAGGAAGATAAGTGTGTTCTTAGCCCCCAACAGGAGTGTGGGAAGTTCAAGAAGATGAGGCTGGCAGCTCCCTAAGGAATTCACAGTGTTGTGGCTGGCTGGCTTGGGAACTAGGGTCCAGTCTGGCGAGATTTCTGTCTGGAGATTGAAGCTAATAAACGCAACAGAACTGTATTTGCATTGTCTCTTGGAGTTTTTTGGGCTGAACCTGACATCACTGAGTCTGGGGAGATTGATGTGGCTTCTTACTGTGGAAAATGATATGAGGATAGGTATAAGTGCCATTGTTGAGCTTGTTGCTGCTTTTCTTCCTCTTATTAAGACTTTTTTCCCCAAATAAACAGGCTTATCTGTATCGGGGAACCATGTTTATCAGGGATTAGCAACTGCTTTGGGGCAGGAGCTCATTTGAAATGTTGAGAGATGTGATGAGTATTCTCAGAAAATGGCTGCCATAGAAGACTTTCCTGTTCATGAAAGGTGGACATGAACAGAAAGTAAAATAACCTCCCAGGATGCTCTTGATTATCCCTGTGAGGACTTTGTAAAGCCCAAAGACCTTCTGGTTGATAAATAAGATAGTGTGGTGCTTTACTATGCAATAAAATTATACAGTACTGCATCTGCACACTCAACCTGATGGTGGGTCCCATGAGGCCATTTTGTAACTTAATTATCCCAGAATCATACAGTTGGAATGGGAATTCTACCTGGGATCTGGGAGTTGAACTCCACACATCTTAAAGTTGCTGAGGTTAAGAAACTGATTCAGGCCACTGAGTACACCCCCCTGCTTAAGGAATTGGAAGAGGAAAGTTGGAAATGGTTGACTCTTTTTTGCTTGATTTGAGAGTTTTAAGGGAGTTCAAGGGTGGGAATGGGAGAGTTCACCTCTCTTAGGCTTTTTTTAATTCATATTTCTGCAGAAAAATCCAAAACACAGGAGAAAAATCAATAACTATAAAGGCCCTTGTGTTTTAAGATTTTACTGCTAGAAGAAACGACTTGGTAACTCAGGTGCTTGCCTTTTGAAGCCATTTGATAAAATCATTTCATAGCATGAATAAAGGGCTGGATAGGCTTCCCTCTTCAAAAACAATCATATGAAATTGTTACTCTGTCTTCAGCTGAAGAATCTAAAGCCTGTGAATGTTTTGCTGATGGCAAAGCCTTGATGCTTCAGATACCAGTGGAAATGATAACTAAAAATGCAAACATTACCTTATACACAACTGTAGCATTAACATCTGTTTCTGTTTTATAGTTTCCATCAGTGCTGAATACCCACGGACCATTTACTGTATCAGGAATGGACGGGCCTTCCACTCCTGGCCCTTTCTCCCCAGATTTACAGAAGACTTAGTGTATGGCTTTTGGGAAATGGACAGCTTGGAGTAACAAGAGAAAAAGGTTTCATTAAAAATGCTGCAACCCAAGTTTTAAAGAGCAGTTTTTAATTCCATGGAGACAATTTAAACTGACTTGGTTTTTGCTATTCCTGGTTCAGATGCCTTTGCAAAATCCTCTTTAAGACATATGAGAATTCATTAGGAAGTGCCTTAATTGTGGAGACGCTTCTCCAGAGTTTCTCTCCCCCCCTGCTCCTTACTGCTTCTTTTGACTGAAGAAAGCTTCTTTTAATTAAAAAAAAAACATTTTTGTATAATAATTGAATTGGTATTGGACAGAACATGCAACTGGTATCAGATAGTTTTTGACTGATATCCTTCATTCCTTTGCTTTTTGTTTTTTATGTCAAAATATTAATTCATGGAAGCTGGCATTCCAAGAAATGCTTGGAAAGTGAATAAAAAAACTTATTTTTTACAGTGGATTCCAATGACCTTAAGGAGAAGCTTTAACACTGCATTTTACAGTAGTGTAGAAGAGAGTTGAGGAAAATTTTAAGAGTGGTTGCTATGGATAAGGAAACTCTTTTTCCTTTGGCAAAAATGCCAGTTCATCTATCACATAATAGTGTGGTATTTTGTATGTTTGAATGGTATAGATATGCATAGATCATGGGTTGAATTGCTTTGATCTTCCAAAAAGATTGGAAGGTTTTAAGATTTGATAAGCCAAGTCAAGAAAAATAAAAGCAAATCCCTTGTTACATAATAAAGAAGAATTGAGCAGATTGTGCTGATTGAAGATCCATGCAGTGGATTTGTTCTGGCACTGGGTTAATAAGCATTTATTTGTCATGCTGTGGGTTATTGTTGTCTTGCTTCTTGATAATGTTGTACATAGTTATGACATTTGGGAAGTGAATGTTTATAGTTTGTTCTTTTTCCCTCTCAGCAAATGAAGAACCAAAGAAACATGCCTTCTCTTGGCCTCTTATATATTTAGGTGTTCCTTTAAATATAAGTGGACTGAAGTTTTGAATGTGTCCAAGCCTCTGAAGTTAGAAGTGTGCCATTATTAGAAAGTACTGTGGCTAATTAAATGTTTGAGACTGGAGGGAGAAAGAGCAAGATGGCACATGTTGTTTGTAACATGGAAGGAGTAAAATGTGCTTCTAGCCTGTACTTAATCTTGTGGGAAGATATTCATTGAGTAACAACTTCAGCATGATGGTAGTTGAGACTTCTTTGTAAACTGATGGTAACATAATGACAGCTTGCTGAAGTGAGAGTCTTATTTTGGGGGCTAGAAATGGAAGGTATAATGGATAGATCTAAACACCACTAATAGTAGTTGTCTCTCAGCTGAAAGAATTTCAAGAAGATTCACCCTTTCTGCATAACATTTATATTCAGGCCCTGTTACATTTCAGAAAGCACCTTAAATCTTGTCGCTTTAATAGCTTATTAGAAAGTTGAAATAGATACCAGAAAAGTGTTTTAATACTTTTTATGTATGGGGGTTGGCTTGGATTGAAAAGGGCTAACAACCTGTGGGTTTTAATTCATATACTTATTCAGGCACTCTGAAAAGGCCTCATACCATTTCAACCTGTATGTTGGTATGCAAGAGTGCCTCAAGGTAATGTATCAAACTAAAGGAAGACTAAAGGAAGAGACATTTGCTGATTTATCAGCATTAAACTAGATAATGAGAGATCCCTGTGAATGTGTTATACAGAATGGTGCAAAATTTAAGTAACTGCGCTATCCTTGAGTGAAAAACCTTTTAATTGGCTCGATCTGTAGTTGGCTCCCTTGATCAGGCAGGGATTCGAAAGGCCTTTTGTCTTTTGTTGTACCTAATTGAATGTGCAATATTTCATAGATCTGCTTTCAGTATAGGCATGCAAAACAACACTGGCAGGTAACAAAAGTAGATGTCCTGCATTCTTATACTTGCACGGCAGGCAACGTCCAAGTCAGAGCAGCACTTTTTAAGGGCAGCCATTCTGGACTGGCTGCTGTTGGCACATGTATTAGATAGAGGAGGTTTTAAAAATGAAGTTTGACTAGAACTCTACCACGTATAGTAACGGTGGTTAAAATATTTGCTCTTCATCTCCTTTGTCACACAGACAACAGAAGGGGCTGGCGAATTCCAACTGAATGAGAGAAAAAAAAATAACTGATGGACTAAACAGCCATTTGTCACAGATGTTTTTACTTAGATTCCTGCACTGCGCAGAGGGTTCGATTTGATGACCTAAATCAATGTTTCTCAAACTTGGCCACCTTAAGATGT